CCAACGCACATCCAGTACCCACCATGTAGTTCATGTATTTGGACATGAGAGGTCACAAAAAATTGGTTTTGTCTTTTAGTTCTTCTGCTTCTTCTTCTTCTTTGTTTTTGGAAATAAAGGGAGATTCAACTGAATATAATAAGCAACATATTTTCCTCTGACGACAGATGAATTCATTCAAAGTCATCTGACCTTGCTAAGATTCAAAATTACTGTCAGAAGTGATGAATGATGTAACAGATAACAGAAATACCCCCCTCCCCTTTTAATCATCTTAAAGCATCCAGACAATTAAACTTTCTGACTTTGATCTGGTGAGTTAAATAGTGCAAGGGTTTGATAGTCACCCACTAAACACTGGACATTGGATAGTGCAGATATTGTCTATATTGGGTCAGTCAGTCCTTGATTCTGGACATGACTAACTATCAGCAAAATGACATGCAACTTATGGTTCTGTGTTTAACAATTACAACACAGTTAATACCATTTCTCTCATTCAGAATCGTGTATAATGACGGCCCGCAGAGACATTTCTTATCTTTTCGCGTTCCTGCAGCCACACACAGACACTAATCTTCCGCGGTCTATGAATCAGGTCTACGCAAACAAAATCAAGACATTAGAACAGACGTTTTCGTCACTTAAACTGCATTTCTCATTCATAATATTAATTCAAACTATACTTTGATTATATCTTTTATTAAGAATAGAAATGATTTACTATTAGCAAAAGCACATTTAGATAAACTCTGTTTAGCACTCTGTATCGCTTTAAACATAAAAGGCTGGATGTTAAGTCTTTTTACCTTTTCTCAGATGTAATGAGAGGTAACCCGCATAGCAGACAGGTCTGTGCCGATCTGGTGTCAAGCCGGCACTGCTGGCATGGTAAGTGGTATGTCATCCAGATATGGGTCAGGCCTGGCATAGATGGCAGTGTTTATGTGATGGCATGCCACATCTGGCCCGATTGTGGTTTGGTTTATGTGGCCCAGGCTCACAGAAAACAGGTCTGGCCCAGATCCGGCATCATACTGGCACTGCTGACTGACTGGTGTCATGGCAGGGTGTATGTCAGCCAGATGTTGGCCAGGTGTGGCAATGATGGCATTTATGTTCCTATTCTCCTATTTTAGTTAGAAGACCCAAATACCATGTGAGTGATTTTGTAATGAGGGTTACACTCAGAGAATTACTTACATTTGGATGTAGAAAAGATGAATGAAGTCACAATTTAAAATGAAAGGTTTTTCAGATAGTGGTTGTAATTTTTAATCAGGGTTAGTGTTATAAGGCCTACATCTGCTTAAATAGTTTTAGACTTATTCTTGAAAGAATTAATGATAGCTTATCACTGAAATAGGTCTGGCTTCAAAAAGTGTTTTTCTGCTTAAGAAATATTAACATGTTTTAGTTTCTGGGCCATTAACCTTTTTAGGTTCAATAATACTGTCAAATTTCTATAGATGTGCTAACATGATGATGAAATGTGATGGTTTGTGGTTCCATGGTGGAGGTAAAAAAAAGACTAGCAAAGCACTTCCTCAATATCATTCCAGCCCATAATATACCCTAATCTTAGATGTTTGTGAAACCTTATTTGGCCCATTGCCAGGTGATTGAGGAAATAAATGCTTTGTAATGTTCTGTGTCATGATTGCTTTTACGAATGAAAAATAAGTGTTGACCTAACAGACTTCCGATCAGTCTGGATTAGATGCAGGGCATCAGCTGACCATCGACTGGGCCTCATTCAGAGGAAAAGGTTTTAGTTATATTTATCTCTCCCTGTGGGCTCACAGAGACAACCCCCTCCTTAGAAGTCAGGGATCAGCAGCTGGGATAGTCAGTGAATCTCATTAACAATGACACTCTGAAGCAAAAGACAAGCTGAGAACCAGACTATACATCAAGTGTAATTGATTTTTATCCGTCTCTCTACCTCCCTTTCTCTCTTTCTCTCTGTCTAGAAAGACAGAGAGAAAGGGATCGAAAATCTATCAATCCATCTTTTGCATATATATATATATGTATATATAGGAGACCCTGGTGTTAATATATATATA